TTTATATGTAAATTTTCGGAAGTTACTGTAGCATAAACAGTAACCACGATTTTTAAGCTAAATTTCCAGATTGTTAAAGGGGTACCGATTCCCATGCTACAGGGAATCGATTCCCCCACTATTCACTGTTCACTGTTCACTGTTCGGGTATTGTTCACTATTCATAAATAAAAATATTTTGAATTAAATTGGTTACAACGAAACGAAATTTTTATGATATGATAATTTTATAATATCATTTACCATTTTAAGAAAATAAATCTTAAATTGCTCTCAAATTTTGAAATGGTTTTGGAAAAATACGGGTGATATCTATAATCTGTATAGGTATAATTATACGGGTTATGGGTGTTACACTGTTACATTTCCATTTTCATTAATTTAATTTTAATGAGATGATCATCTAAAGAGAAATTTTAATAATAGAAAGAATGTTGTTCTTGTTAGATAACTCGTGTTCAATTAGTTTGTTTGTAGATATGTGTAAGTTTGTTCATATTTGGAACTGAAAAATATATATTATCTTATAATCATATTAGAATGTTAAAAAACATATTTCATTTTCTTAGTAAGTTTAATGTTCTTTTTAAAAAATTTTAGGGTTATTAATTGTTCCATCACTTTTTTAATGGAAAATTTTTAGATAAAAATTATATAAATATATTTTAATTTGTTTAAAGGATAGGTAAAGTAGTATTTTCCATTTTCATAGTAAATTTAATATGCTTTGTCTATTTGCATGTATCCCTTTTCATTAATTTAATTTTGTTCAGCTTATCACCATTTATGCTTCACCAATAAAAGTTATTCATTTAATATGCGTTTAGAAATTTACGATATGGAAACACAAATCAAGCTATCTTAGTGTTTGAAATAATAATTTTTCTATTTCACATATTTTTATCAAAAAAAACATTTTTTAAAAAAAGAATTATTGTTACAATTTTTTTGAAACCATGATTATCTTATTTATTTTTCGAAAATCTTTGAGATTTCTCATTTTTTGGATAAAAATATTTTTTCAATTAACTAAAAAATAATTTATATATTATTTTTTCTAAATAATTAATTTAATCAATAAATTAAAATTTTGAGATTATTCAAGCTATAAAATCAAATTATTATTTTTTATTAAGCTGGGTAAATAAAAGAGAATATCAATTTAAATATAACTCTCAACTTTTTGACTTTGAACGCTCTTACTCTTAACATTTATAGTACTTGAATCCCGGTCATCATAGAATAACAACAGTTACTTTACCACATAAATCACTTGATTCATGCTAAATTAAATTATTTCTTTTAAATGATTTGAGTTTGGATAATATTTTCTATAAAATAAAAAAAAAACTTATTTAATGAATAAATATAATTATAGAAAATTTTCAAGAGCAAGAATAATATTAAATAATTTTTAGGGTAAACTACACAAATGTTCACTTTTGTTTTATTTTTATAAACTTATGGTCACTCGATTCAGAAAACATAATATATGATCAATTTCATTTTGTTTTAATTAAAACATGGTCACTGAGACGGTAGCTGTCGTGAGTTAGATGACTGGGCACGTTAATAAAAATGTTTAATTTTTATTTGAACTCTTAAACTTTATATATATTACTTGGCTATTTTTGTAAACCCAAAAAAGTTTAGAGGTAAATTATCATTTTACCCTTTTTTCCATATGTTTTCTTCCCCATATCTGCTTCTCTGCCGCTTCCCCTGCTTCCCCAGCGAAGCAATATCGTCGAGTTCGGTGGCCATTCAAGCCGATGACAAAGGTATTAGTAGTGTGCAACCCTTTCCATGGTATTAGTAGGCAGCTGCATTTTCTCACCTCGATGCGTTAGTTCAGTAAGTGAACCTTGAATTCAATTCACTGAAGCAACTATTCTAAAAAGATGACATTCAACAAATCTACAGGACGAAAGAACGAAACCCGAAACTTAGTTATAAATAGTTGAGGATCAATCTGGATTCAAATCACCTCCATATTAGCAAATCATTAGCTACAAATAGTTTAATCAAAGTGAAAAGGCATAGTGATTTACTTACAAAAGCTGCAGGTGATAGACAGAACAAGAGGGCAATGATAGAAATATATGCATAAACATTTGTGCTATCCATGCGTGTCTGTCAAATATAAAGGCAGAGCTATGCCAATCAAAGCGAATGTCGAACACGGATGCATATTCGATACAAATACAAATTTGTGTATAAAAGGTGAAGTGAAAGTTCCTTGTCTTACCATCGCTTTCTTGGAGTATCTGCTTCTGTAAGTAAATGCAATGTTTGAAATCATTGCACCGATAAAACAAGTCCAATTGAAAGAAAGTTCAGTGAGTGAAGCCATGGGAACACCTAAAAGTAAAGCAGAAGATAACATCAGATGGCAAAGATTAATCAAGAGGAAAGCATAAGACAACAGGAGTTAATGAAAGCCAAAGGGCCTAGATTATATAACTAAGAGCCTTAGAGATGAAGTTGGGGAAGCGGCGGAGAAGATAGGCGTGGGCAAGAAAACATATGGAGAAAAGGGGTAAAATTATATTTTATCCCTGAACTTTTTAGGTTTACACATAGACCCATGGTTAATAATATAAATTTTAAGGGTTCTAATGAAAATTAAATTTTAAGGGTTCAAATAAAAATTAAATATTTTTACTAAATTGTCACGTCATCTAATTCACAACGGTTAATGTCTAAGTGATTATATCTTAATTAAAATAAAATGAAAGTGATTATATATTATGTTTTCTGAATCGAGTGATTTTTAGTCTATAAAAATAAAACAAAATTTACCGTTTGTATAATTTATCCTAATTTTTAATTTGAAAAGTATTAAGCAGGAAGTTCTTGTATTGATGCTACGCCTACAAATAGGCAAAGCTCTCTGCCATCTTCAGTTGTCTTTCTCCACAAACAATAAAATTAAAGAACAAAAGAAGCCTCCATTTCTTTAAAGTTTCCTATTTTTTTAGTTTATCAAACAACAACCCAAATTAAAACTCCCATCAAATCCCAATATTCTTGAAAAAAAATCTTTTTTTTCATTTGCTAATTTGTGAGTTTTTCTGATATGGGTCAATGGCAGAAGTGGAAAACAAGGAGAAATCATCACCTGGGCCATTGTTCTTGAACCGCTCGTTTACTATGAACCCGACGGCAGCTGAATCAAAAAACTCCAAACTTCATCTTCTTCTGAACAACCCACCGTCTCTTAATCGAGCAGCTTCAATTTCCAAGTTCTACAATTCATTCGGTTCCATCAGAGGTAAAGTCAAACAGCTCTGCAATTTGTTCGAATCCTCGAAGTCTTCATCGAACTCAGCAAGTCCTAAGGAAATTTCTCCCAAGGTTGCTTTAAGACCCTCGAAATCAATTGCATATTCCTTTTCTTCAAGCTTTAACAACTCTTTGATAAGGTTAGCTGGAACCGAAGATCGAATCGTTGTTTATTTAACTAGCTTACGAGGGATTCGAAGGACTTACGAGGATTGTTACGCTGTTAAGATGATATTTAGAGGGTTTGGGGTTTGGGTTGATGAGAGAGATATTTCCATGGATGCTGCTTACAAGAAAGAGTTGCAAAGTGTTTTGAAACAGAAGGCAGTGAGTTTGCCTCAGGTTTTCATCAGGGGAAAGTATACAGGCGATGCTGATGTGATTAATAGCATGTTTGAAGTTGGGGAATTGGCTAAGATTCTTGATGGGTTTCCAAGGAGACAACCTGGGTTTGTTTGTCGAGGTTGTGGGGATGCCAGGTTTGTGCCCTGTTGGAACTGTAGTGGGAGTCGAAAAGTGTTAGACGACGACGAATAGTTGGCTAAAAGATGCTTGGAATGCAATGAAAATGGCTTGATTCGTTGCCCGGTTTGTTGCTCGTAAAGCTTGGGATTGCTGCAGGGTGCTAAGGTATATTTAGAAGTTTGTTTTCATCTTCCTTAGCATATGTAGATGTTGTCTTTAATGGCATAATTCATCAGTTCGTTAGCAGATTTAGAAGCTCGTATATGTAGATGTTGCATTTGGTATGAAATGTTTCATTAGCAGAGAGCTGATGATCGTCCGTTGTCTTGTTCAACTGGATGTTGACAATGATAGTGTGATGTAAAATCAAAATGCCATACTTGGTTTTGGCATTTCAATTCCGATGGAGATCCGAATTTTCTCATTGTAAATATTTAGTGTTATATTAATGTAATGAACTCACATATCTTTTGACAGATTGTATTGAGAATAGACTGTCATTTATGCTTTACTTCTTTTCCTGAATTCACTTTGTAAATTATAGAAGCTGCAGTGCATACATACTTGAATTCTCATTCAATCATTCATACGGAACCAAGACTGGATTGATTTCTGGTTTGTTTAAGGCTTTAAGCTCGATATACCTGATCGCGTATTGCTCCGGGATTGTCCTTAGTTTAAGGAAAGAGTAAACTGTAAGCAATATCTGCTTTGAGTTTAAGTAGTTCCATATATTAGGTCTGTGGAGAGTCATATCCTTATATGTGTATCGAATATGGATGTCGAATACAAGTACGTGAAGGAAAACTGAATAATCAGAGTAACATAGGTAAATTACATCCGGATAGTTTAGAAGAACACTATTGTTATCTTCATTCCGTACCTTTCTTGTGGGACAAGTCTTTTAATCAAACCAAATGCAAGTGTTAAAAGAAAACCGATAGTCCGGTCTAACTCCAAGCCCACATCGGGAAGGCAGCAAAGAGGGGAGTTGAGCTCGGTGTTTATCTAGTACAATGAATCACTATGAGAGTAGAATTTATGCTTATTTAAGAGTTGTGATATCTAGTACAATGAATCACTATGAGAGTAGAATTTATGCTTATTTAATTTTGGAGATGGTAGAAAAATATTAAAAGCTTGGTGTTTTCTTTTTCACGGTACAAAATATTCAAAGAAATTGCCACAAGCCAAGTCCAAGTATCCTATATAGAACTGGGTAAGCAAGTTAACAGCTTTCAATCTCACGGAACTGTGTAGCGAGCACAGAGCGAACTATTCTTTTGCCTTTTACAAAAGAATACCGTGTGCTCTCCATTTTAAGCGGCATACGTCAATTTTTGGAAGGGCGTTCCTCATTTGTTAAAAAAATTGTTATTCGACTCTTTTGTCCAACCTAAGTAATTAAGGTCTTGAGTTGAACTCGAGTCTAGTTAATCTGAGTAGAACATTGATTGAATTTTGACGAGTTGAGTTCGAACAACTCATCAAGAACCCATATTTGTGTTACTGAAGGTTGAAGTGGGAACCAAAATCATAGTCCCCAAGCCATTTCATTCTATTGTAGCAGTGCATCTTACCATACCTTACTTTGAGGACAACCCTTATTTCCTCTTCAACAGTGCTTTACTTGAACATTATGTATGCTTATCAGACCTTGCTCACAATTTCCTTGTCAGTGTACTTATCAAACAAAATAAGTAATGTCTATTTGACATTCATAAGCAATAATATTGAGTTCATCCAAATTGTTTTTCTACTGGATGCTGGGAGTCACTCTCAACATGTCATTCAAGGTTCCGTCATCCACCTCGATTGGTCACAACTCGAAACCCACATTGAGAAGACAAATAAGAGGAGAGGTGAGGAATGCAGACACTGAATGAGCATGGACTACTTGTATATGCGCCTGGACGGAGCCGATGTGTGGTCAACAACACCCATGGTCTAGGTTGGTGGCTTTCATTGCACACACAAGGTGCACCTCCATAAGGCCTCCTTGAATGGGAGAGCCGATGTCGTTAATTGTAAAGAATACTGTCCGCTAGCAACTTTAAGGTAGCATGCGCCAAATGTTTTTAGGGTTGTTTCATGTTGAACATCCCAGTAGGCTTGTATTTGCCATGGATCAGCAATTACGATACCCGGATTCTATATTTTCACTAAAACATCTGTATCTAACATATACATGTTTAGATGTTAATATAATTCTCTAAATGTATTAGCTCCATATCTCGACCTGCATTTCCATGTTCATATTTTTGGAGAATCCGTACTGTACGCATATTCGAATATAAATATAGGATATGATCCCCCAAATATAGCACAAAGAAATTAACATACCTATATTTGACACTCACCCGAAGTGCTACAAAATTATACACATCATTGTTTCATTCTATGAATGGGGCTTTTGCCCGCTGCTTAATCATCATCAATGCATTGTTTAAAACCTTTTAACGATGACATTTTCCTAGGTTACATTTATCCATTCAAACTGGCTTACATAAACAAATTCTTCGGTATCCCGATATGTACCCGAATCTTTATTTCTAGACAGCTATTGAGTAAGAGGAAGGCATTCGATCTCGATCTCAAGCACCCCTGTTTCGACATTTTGTAGCTGAACAGAGAGATCCTGTTTTGCTTTCCCATCTAACACGGTAATAAGACCGTCTTTTTCTAGGGTGTTGTCTTTATCTAAAACCGGCATTGATTCATGAATCTCGGAATGCTCATGGGCTTGCGCTGCAGTAACCAGTGGTTGAATGTCGATCTCCGCATCCCCCATAAAGTCATCATATGAGAAAGTATCTTTATCGTACACAACCTGCATTGTTTATGAATTTTTTTCTTAAGATTGAAAACAAGCCATAATCAGCGTATTCACTCAGGAGTGCCTTCAAATGCCAATGAACCAAAACAGTACCGGTGATGCTATTCAAAGAAACACTAGACATTCCGTATTTAACAAGTAATAGGACAAGGCAAACCTATGTTGCTAAGACCTGGGTCAGACACGGGTGTATATCCTGTATCACGACCCAAGTTTTTCATGTATTTGGAGGTTATTCCCCAAATTGATGTCCGAATATGTTTCGGAGAGAGGCAATTCAAGGAAAATGAAGAGTCGGAGTAACATAGAAGCATACTACCATCATCTAACCAGAAAAAAAAAGTTCTAAGATTCCATTTTCGGACTATAAATCAATCATTTCCCCTAGAACTTACTTCAATTGAGTAAATATATTCTTAATGGTTTGCCGGCAAACAAAGAACTATCAGTGTAACAAAAATGCTGTAAAGTGTCAAAGAAAGTTTAGCCATCTCGGGTTTTTGTTAACGAATGTAACTCACCACTTTCAAAGGTGGAATGTTTTCCGGAATGGACAACATCAGGCTTTCATTCCAGACTGGATTTAGATTTTTCCTTATGACTCGGGTCCTGACAGACTGCAAGAAAAGAAATTACTAAGAGTTCAAACCAGTATGTTAACTTGCTTCACTGGATTTGTCCATTTTGGTTCATATAATAATATCGTATCTTTGAAAAAGAGAAGCATACCTGTTGACCTAACGTGAGGATGACATACGGATCGCTGGAAACCATATCCCGGACAGCTAGGTTGATGCCTTTGACCACATTCACCTTAATCATCCCAATGAATTCAACCATACCTGCCTATAAACAGTACATATAGAGAAAAAATAGCATTCACTTCAATACAAATTCCGGTATACTAACTATCACACTGATATTTCCCGAAAGCTAACATGAAGTAACCATGCTATACTACCACTTAATTCGCAGGCATCCGAGGTACAGAAAGATCAGATCAGATTTAGAGATATATACTTGTCAGTAAAGTTGCATCAGAAAGAAATTGTATTTGATGAGAATAGTACTAGCAGATATGCATCAACCAGCTAGTTCTAGAGTGAATAACCGCTTCTGGGAACGAAAAATTAAAAAAAGTAATTGTTACCGATGAATTGCTTTTCTTAATGGACTTGTGATGATCATTATCTTTTCTTGCCCAACTGTTTCTAAATTTTTGCCCTATACGATGTCTGGTTGGTTGCTTCTCAAACTGTCTTTTATCTTGGGAAAACACGTTGGGAGAAGAACTCTGTGAAGATGACGATGGAGAACGTTGATGAGGCGGATGGGCAGAAATCTCGTGATCATTGCCATCGAGAAATTGCAGCATCTCATATTTTCTCCTAAGCATTCAAGAAACACAATACTAAGTATAACAAAATTAAGAATTCTAGCCAGATAAAAAAAGACACTGGCAAGTTTATTTCGGCATTACTTGATGAAATCAGCACGCTCCTCATTGGATGAATCTGGTGTCAGCTTTGTGATGTTATCAGGAAGCAAAGCTTCATACTTTTTGTTTGCTACACTATTGCCACCCAAATTCTCCAGAGAATCAACTTGATCGTCTGCCCATTCATCAAGCTTCGCTGAAAAAACCTATCACAATTTCTTATCAAATTAGAAAATTAGAAGATGTGTGCATGTGCGGAGAGGTCACTACAATCATCTATGTATTTGGAGATTCTTGGATGTCATATCCCCATATTCGTGCCTGGTTATGCAACAGACAAGGCTGTTGTACATGGATACTTCAACAAGAATGAAGCCTTGGAGTAACTTGGATAATCCTCAATAACATAGCAAGATCAATGATAAGGAACTGATCCAATGGGATCTATTTGGCACTTCAATCCAGAGTATTTATGACTATGAGAAAAATTTTACTAATGAAGTAAATCATCACAAGGCTGGATTTGCTTATTCCTCGTTATCGTTTTATTACACGGGAAACTACTAGATACCAATTTTCTTTCTCCTAATAGCTAGTTGTTCTATCTAACCTAACAGCTTTCTTATGTAACAACTCACAAGAACTGAAGATTAATCCATGCAAGTCGTCATAATATGAGAGAATCCGTTCCTCAGCATTTGGTGTTCTGTAATGATGATGGACTAAAGGTAGCAGATATTAGGTGTAGATTCATGATGCATTAATGCAACTAATCAAGCTTTCATGAACACGAGCATAATCCATGAACCATACCTTTGATATATGTACTCCGAGACTTCTATGAACACCAGAGCATTTGATACAAATAAATACTCCAAGATTTAATGAACTGATATACAGGGAAAATAATTGTCATAAAGAAGGCAATGTCAAGTTAATAAACCAAACTTAAGCACATATGAAAATGAACTACAGCGAAAAAGAGGCCAACAAATGAATTACTGTCACTATAACCGATATTGTGGCAAACTTTTTATTCAAGGGAATATAAACAAAAAACGAAGGATAGAAAAATGAAAATGTAATTATTAAATAAGTCATAGACCTATGCTGCACGAACTTGGAATAAGGGTTGGATTTAGGTACACATCCAACACCGATATGCTCAAAAAAGAGTACTAAACTTGAAATGCTGCTCCATAAAGAGAGCTATCATAACCCAAGTCTCGAGAAATCCATATTATACCCTAGAAATGAACAGTAGGAGACAACATAACTTTATCATAAATCAAGGCATGACACTTACACCCATTTTGGATCAGGGGATCCGCAGTCTGCACATACATTGTTCCCGGATTCCTGCATCAATCTCTCTAGCCTTCCTTTTGCGCCTGTTTAATGAACAATACAAGTTAAAACTTATAAATAAACGGGATAAAATTATAGGTTTATGGGAAGCCATATGAGATACTACTTGTACTATCAGTTCCGGATCTGAACACAGGCCAAGGACCAGAAAGGGATAAACCAAAGAACAGCTGAATGCACAAAGGAAAACCCGTGTGCTTCCACAGACTATGAATATACAGTTCAGTACGTATATAAGCACCGTAAAATCATCTGGGCTAGGACCAATACATCATAGCATATTGGAATTTGGTCCTATGTCCTTTGTGGATCACTGCATTTTATTTTGCTTGCTATTTTTTAGTTTCCTATTTGATAACTCTGGATATGATCCTTCAAACACAAAATTAAAGGCAACATACTAGATGATCTCCATGAGTCCTTCCTCATAAACCAAGGTGTACTATCTGCATCATTTGGTCGATTCCAATATGGCTGTTCTTGACATAACAGATCATATAAGCGAGAACTGGATCCTGCAAATGCAGCATAATAAATAAACCAAATATGTTACCCGAAAGCATAGGTTTCCAAAACATGTAAGCAGACTACTAATAAGAGAGTCAATACAGGAAGTCCATGAAACATCTAAATATATAAAAGGGTATCCGCCAAGATCGATCCACAATAGAAGATAACCATCGATACTGCCATTGTCATTTCAACAACAATGTTGTCAACAAATTAGAGGCATTTCATTTTCTTGGCAACAATTCAGATAATCTGCGATTATCAGTTCCTTCTAGGGGATACCATAATCATTCAATGTGAGAAATTATTGACAAATAAAAGAACACAACAAAAAACAAGACAGCCTCTTGTCTTTGAATGGTTAGCATGAACCAGTACCAGAAGGGGGTTTGCGATCGGAATTTCCATGTTGGGTAGACATCTCCAAAGCCTTCAAATTGAAGACCCTACTCGCTGCTATTATCTGGAAAATCCCATTTATGAGTCCCTTAATCTGCATTAAAATAACATGAACACCCATCAAACAAAGAAACAAAAAACAATAATTTCGATTCCAAAAAAGAGGGAAAAAGAAAATCTTGCATTCTAAATATTTGGCCTTTTCTGTTAAACATATGATCAAATGAAGATTGAGCCTTTCTTGATAAATTCTCCTCTGCATCAAATATAATAATAAAAAAAACACCCCAGAAAAATGATTGTATTTAAGAAATGAAGGAAATGACAAGAAAATCAATGCCAAAAACAAGAATAAAAAAAGGGTTGCTCTTACATTGTTGGGACCAAATTACGAAATCAACGAAGGGTTTGCATAGGAAATTGAGAAGTTTTAATTGTAACAAGGGGATGGTTCTTTTTCTCCTTTTTTAATGTGAAATGAAAAAATCCAAAAGAATCAAAATAAATGGATAAGGGAAGAAGAAAACATTGTTTGATTATAGTTTATCTTTTAACATATTTTTCCGTTGTTTTTGTAAAAAAAAAAAAAAGATTATTAATTTTTAGCAATAGAATGTGAAAAGGATAATTCTCTTAGAAAAGTCAAAGTTGTAATGGCAGCTCGAAACTTAAATGCCTTTTTTGGTTGGTTAGTTGCCAGACGCACGATGCTACAAAACTATGAGTTCCACGCGCTCTAGGTGGACGTGAAATCAACTCATTTATGATAGCTTTCCTTTATCTTTGAACTTGTTATTTATTCTTTTTCGAGTGTTTGATAATTCTTTTCATTTATTTTGTTTAGAATTAAATTTAACATGATATCGACAGATTAAGATGATGGTTAATTTATCGATGCAAATTTATTTAAATATTTATTTTATTTGAGTTTTTTTTTATATATTTTTAATATTTTTCTTATATAATCTTAAGTATAGGTTTATTTTACATTTATCATTTTCATAAATTATTATTGTAATTTTAAGATGCTTTTTTAAAAAGTTAATCATTTCTATCTGCATAAAAAATTTAAATGTATTTTGAACCCACCATATAGGTATATCGAACCGAAAATATAGGTATTTTAAACCAATGATAGTGTTAGGGATGGTTATGGGTCGGGTCGGGTTTTTAGGCCACTCGATTTGACCCGAGAAGAAAGGGTCTTCCACCCATGATCCGATTCGATCCGATAAAATTAAGGTTTCACCCGACCCGATCCGAATATATGACATAGAAACCCAACCCGAAATAATAAAAAAATATATTTTTATTCAATAAAAATTGTGATTTAATTGAAAAAATTATATATAGAGAGGTATTATTGTAATTATCCCTAAATATATAAGGTAAAATTATATATATTTTTCAAGTCGGGTCGGATTTTTTTCACCCTAAACCCGACCCGACCCGAACCCAAATTTTTTTAAAATAAATCCGACCCGATTAGATCGGATCGAGTCGAAACTCGTCGAATTCGAGTTGAGTTGCCATCCCTAGATAGTGTGTATCATATTTTGAATGGAAATATATATTAAATTAAATTATTTAAAAATATTCTTTCAACGTTTTTATTTATTTATTTATTTATTAGTTTCTCACTTGCTTTCTTTGTTCATTTCATTGCTACTCTCTATGTCGGTGGTAAAGAAGGCATGTTTTACATCCAAATCAATGAGACTTTGAATAAGTATAAAGGCTACAAGTATTCAAGGAAACTTTGACCTCTTATATTTCATATCCTACCTTAATCCAATGAGATGTGTTCCATACATCTTTAAATATAACTCTCAATTATTTAACATTAAATACATACGTCTCTAACATTCTTGATACTCGAACCAAGAACTAAAAAAATAACAATAATTCATTTATCATCTAGGCCACTTGATTTGTGTCTTGTTCATAAATTTTTTTAACAAAACCATTAATGTATCTCATTTAAAACCCCTTCTAAAACATAATAAGAGGAAAGAGTGCCCACATACCATAAATCACGATTATATTCAAGAATCATATACATCTTATGAATTTCATGAGATATGAAGTCGGGACAAATCGAATCAATAAACAAAGAACCACCAGATCTAAGAGCCCAACTAGCTACCTTGTGAGCAACATGATTATAAGAACGATCATCATACATAATATAAAACCGAGAATTTGATTGAAAAATGGCACAAGCCTCCTAAACGAAGATACCAAACATTGATATATCATCGGTATGTCTGGAGATCTTGTGAGGAAACGTCACCGAGTCAGTTTCAAACTGAACATCCTCTATTATGATTAATTTATCGATGCAAATTTATTTAAATATTTATTTTATTTGAGTTTTTTTTTTTATATTTTTAATATTTTTCTTATATAATCTTAAGTATATGTTTATTTTACATTTATCATTTTCATAAATTATTATTGTAATTTTAAGATGCTTTTTTAAAAAGTTAATCATTTCTATCTGCATAAAAAATTTAAATGTATTTTGAACCCACCATATAGGTATATCGAACCGAACATATAGGTATTTTAAACCCATGATAGTGTTAGAGATGGAAATGGGTCGGGTCGGGTCGGGTTTTTGGGCCACTCGACTTGACTCGAGAAGAAAGGGTCTTCCACCCGTGATCCGATCCGACCCGATAAAATTAAAGTTTCACCCGATCTGACCTGAATATATGACTTAGAAATTCGACTCGACCCGAAATAATAAAAAAATATATTTTTATTCAATAAAAATAGTGACTTAATTAAAAAAAATTATATATAGAGGGGTATTATTGTAATTATCCCTAAATATATAAGATAAAATTATATATATTTTTCAGGTCGGGTCAGATTTTTTTCACCCTAAACCCGACCCGACCCGAACCCAAATTTTTTTTAAAAAAAAAATCTGACCAGATTAGATCGGATCGAATCGAAACTCGTCGGGTTTGAGTTGAGTTGCCATCCCTAGATAGTGTGTATCATGTTTTGAATGGAAATATATATTAAATTAAATTATTTAAAAATATTCTTTCAAATTTTTTATTTATTTATTAGTTTCTCACTTGCTTTCTTTGTTCATTTCATTGCTACTCTCTATGTCGGTGGTAAAGAAGGCATGTTTTACATCCAAATCAACGAGACTTTGAATAAGTATAAAGGCTACAAGTATTCAAGGAAACTTTGACCTCTTATATTTCATATTCTACCTTAATCCAATGAGATGTGTTCCATACATCTTTAAATATAACTCTCAATTATATAACATTAAATATATACGTCTCTAACATTCTTGATACTCGAATCAAGACCTAAAAAAATAACAATAATTCATTTATCATCTAGGTCACTTAATTTGTGTCTTGTTCATAAATTTCTTTTAACAGAACCGTTAATGTGTCTCATTTAAAACCCCTTCTAAAACATAATAAGAGGAAAGAGTGCCCACATACCATAGATCACGATTATATTCAAGAATCATGTACATCTTATAAATTTCATGAGATATGAGGTCGGGACAAATCGAATCAATAAACAAAGAACCACCAGATCTAAGAGCCCAACTAGCTACCTTGTGAGCAACATGATTATAAGAACGATCATCATACATAATATAAAACCGAGAATTTGATTGAAAAATGGCACAAGCCTCCTAAACGAAGATACCAAACATTGATATATCATCGGTATGTCTGGAGATCTTGTGAGGAAACGTCACCGAGTCAGTTTCAAACTGAACATCCTCTATTATGATTAATTTATCGATGCAAATTTATTTAAATATTTATTTTATTTGAGTTTTTTTATATTTTTAATATTTTTCTTATATAATCTTAAGTATATGTTTATTTTACATTTATCATTTTCATAAATTATTATTGTAATTTTATGATGCTTTTTTAAAAAGTTAATCATTTCTATCTGCATAAAAAATTTAAATGTATTTTGAACCCACCATATAGGTATATCGAACCGAACATATAGGTATTTTAAACCCATGATAGTGTTAGAGATGGAAATGGGTCGGGTCGGGTCGGGTTTTTGGGCCACTCGACTTGACTCGAGAAGAAAGGGTCTTCCACCCGTGATCCGATCCGACCCGATAAAATTAAAGTTTCACCCGATCTGACCTGAATATATGACTTAGAAATTCGACTCGACCCGAAATAATAAAAAAATATATTTTTATTCAATAAAAATAGTGACTTAATTAAAAAAAATTATATATAAAGGGGTATTATTGTAATTATCCCTAAATATATAAGATAAAATTATATATATTTTTCAGGTCGGGTCAGATTTTTTTCACCCTAAACCCGACCCGACCCGAACCCGAATTTTTTTTTAAAAAAAATCTGACCCGATTAGATCGGATCGAATCGAAACTCGTCGGATTTGAGTTGAGTTGCCATCACTAGATAGTGTAGATCATGTTTTGAATGGAAATATATATTAAATTAAATTATTTAAAAATATTCTTTCAATTTTTTAATTTATTTATTAGTTTCTCACTTGCTTTCTTTGTTCATTTCATTGCTACTCTCTATGTCGGTGGTAAAGAAGGCATGTTTTACATCCAAATCAACGAGACTTTGAATAAGTATAAAGGCTACAAGTATTCAAGGAAACTTTGACCTCTTATATTTCATATTCTACCTTAATCCAATGAGATGTGTTCCATACATCTTTAAATATAACTCTCAATTATTTAACATTAAATATATACGTCTCTAACATTCTTGATACTCGAACCAAGACCTAAAAAAATAATAATAATTCATTTATCATCTAGGTCACTTAATTTATGTCTTGTTCATAAATTTCTTTTAACAGAACCGTTAATGTGTCTCATTTAAAACCCCTTCTAAAACATAATAAGAGGAAAGAGTGCCCACATACCATAGATCACGATTATATTCAAGAATCATGTACATCTTATGAATTTCATGAGATATGAGGTCGGGACAAATCGAATTAATAAACAAAGAACCACCAGATCTAAGAGCCCAACTAGCTACCTTGTGAGCAACATGATTATAAGAACGATCATCATACATAATATAAAACCGAGAATTTGATTGAAAAATGGCACAAGCCTCCTAAACGAAGATACCAAACATTGATATATCATCGGTATGTCTGGAGATCTTGTGAGCAAACGTCACCGAGTCAGTTTCAAACTGAACATCCTCCCAACCTTTATTACTTATAAACCGCAACCAAACAAGCAATGCATGAAGTTCCGTAAAATCAACTCCACAAATCCACCTCATTTCCTAGCCGACTCTTAAACTTTTGTTTATAAACATAAAGTCAATTATAGTAAATAATTATATTAGTTGACAAGGTTGAAGATAGTCGTTTTAAAAAATCTCATATTATTCATGTATTTTAGATACTTTTTCATATTTTTGTTTAATAATTTATTCTTGTTTTTTCTAAAATTTTATAAACTCGTTCATTTCTAAAATTTTATTAAAAAAATTCATAATATAAAATTTTACGTCGGTACATAAATTCACAATTTCACATGTAACTTAGTTTTTTTAATATAGCTTTTAAACATATAATGCAAATAGGATACACCATGTGCAAAAGAACAACAAAATCAAAATTAAACATAACAGTTTTGGAGATTAATGAATAGTTTAATTAAAGTAGTCATCTTTGTTTCTATTTTGGCAATAACGTGAATAAAAGGAAAAATAATTAAAGTAGTTGAAATATTTTCCTATCAAACAAATCGGTAGGCACGCTTAATTTATTCAGAATTCATCATCAATGATCTACAAAGAATTGCTAAAGTGTTAACTAGTTCAATTTTTTTTAATATTAAAACGGGCTGATTATAAGGTAGTATATATTTTAAAGATTTTAAATTATTCGACAATAAATATTTAAATATTTTTTCAGAAGTTGGTGTCCAAAACCAGAACCTCTAGAAATAATAATCATCTTTTTAACTATTAAGGTAACTTGATTCGTTTTTCTAGATAATTTTTATTTCAAACTATTGAGTTATCTTTTTTATCTTATGAATATAATACACATATACGACTCATGATCTCCATCAATACGATTGTGTAAGAAGAAGAAGAATTCAACGAACCCAAATTCAAATCACGATTATATTTGAAGATGAATTGAGGGAGTTGATAAGGTAATTATCTCTTGAAAATTTTAAACCTTATATAATTTAGCTGTTTTTTTTATAATCTGTTTTTTTTTCTATAAAATTTTATATATTGGTTCCTTAATTTAAAATCTTGTGTCCCTATGTGATTACACTAGAGAGAAATTAAAAGTTCTTATAAAATCCTTTGCAAGAATACACTGAATCAACATAGAAATAAAGAGAGAAACAGCAAAGGTTGCAAAAATGCAAATGAGGCAAATAGCGTTGGTAGGTGCTGCTCTCTTGGCCACAGTTCTGTGGTTTCTCTCCATCCTTTTACTTTCTACAAACTGAGTCTCCAATGGCCGCCTTCTGCTTGTACTCCCCCGCCTGATACAAAGCTGTGTATTAATGACGCTCCCCAATGGTTTTCCATCCATGGTTTATGGCCACAACGTGACGATGACTGGCCATTGAATCTTGAAGATGCCGAGTGAACCGATAATTATTTTACGCCGAGGCAAATTCAGGTGACCAAATAGCACACTGCAATATAGTTTCATTTTTTAACAATGTTGTTGTTGGTGTATTGATCAGTTTTAATGGTTGAACTCGTAGAGTTTTCTAAAGACGGAACCCTCTATTCCAACTTAGAGGAGAATTGGCCAAACGTTTATGCCAATGATAACGGTGATTCGGAACTTTGGGCACATGAATGGAACGATCATGGGGTGTGCTCTGATCTCCAATATGATCCTGCTGGTTATTTCAAAGCTGCTTTAGATCTCTTCAGTGACCGAAACTTTAGTAATTTACAGCAAGGTAATTTTACTTTACACACAGTTCCAATTGAATGCAAGCACTTTGAAATAATTCATTTAATCATATGACTTTGGTTTTGACCCGGCCAACCAGATTTGGGAATTAAGTTTGACAAGCTTATTCAGTAGACGATATAATGGAAATATTTGATGCAAAATTTGGAGTAGTGCCTCAAATTGCATGTAACAGCGAGACTCAGCTATGGGAGATCCGTTTCTGTTATGAAAGGGTTGATGGGAATGTGCCTGGTGCCCTTCGACAATGCCCCAATACATTGAATGATGATTATGAATGTGCTTTAAACGGAATTCGTCTCCCTCCAGATCCAAGTATTGGACGAGATGCATCATGATATTAATACCACAAAAGCAATTTAGTCTTGTTTATGCATTATGTCTTTGGAAATTTGCTGTCTTGTTGGTTTCTTTTGTGGACTGTTCCAGTGTTGTTGTACCCTCACTGCTTTAATAATAAAACTTAGGGGTTGTTTGATAAAATAAAATGATTAAGCGCTGAATGATTCAATGACCTGAGTGATTCAATGACCTGAATGATTCAAAGGCTCTGTATGAATTGGCTCTGAATGTGACATGCTGTTTGATAATGGTTCTGAATGTACAATATGAATTATGAATATTTTTATTTTTACCTTCATATTGATTTATTATATTATAAGATATGATTGTTTGATAAGACATGTGAAAAAATAGGTATTATGGTAAAATACTGGGTGCTTAATGATTCAGAATGTACTTTAATGCTGAATCATTCAGCAGTGTTTTGTTGTTTCATTCGGCATAGTCTTCATTTAGAGGTGGGAATAAAAAATGCTGAATGTTGAACGGTTCAACATCCATCGCTGAATGGTTCCATTCAGCAGTAAACAAACGACCCCTTAGTCTTGTTGTACCTCCGCCGAGTGTCCCCTATATATCAACTGTTGTTCCTCTGTAGAATATTCTCTGCATTATCTCTACACCATTACCTCAAAGTCTAGAGAATCTTTCTATAAGTTAGGGTCCCAGATGAGTATATCCCGAAAAAGAACTTCGAACACCTAACATTCCTCGGGAAGCTATAATATCCTAACATGATCTCTAACAGTTTCATGTGATCTACTAAAGTCAAATCTACCACCAACTAACTGTATCAATTTAACTTGCCAACCTATGAGTAGCTATTATGACTCTACTTCTGACACCAGTACTAAAAGTTACTATAAAGCCTCTCGACCAAGATCAAAAGAAAATGATGAAATCCTCTTTCCCCTAGTCATCTCTATTCTATATCTTATGCAGACATGATACTTTGACATCGGTCGCCAATTGTAACTCTTCACCCAAACAAAAAGAATGAACTATTTACAACCATACTCTGCAGCATCTCATCTTCAGGGGGAGACTCTCAATGAAGATGAGAACCTTAATACTTTTCTCATTATACCTCATGATCATACCTCTACTATCACAAACAAACCTAACAACCCAACAACTACTGTAATTCCAGATTTAGGGACTATTTCTCATGTGCAACAGTAAAAAATTAGCAGAATCAATCACACCACTCAAGAACAACAACAACATGATCCAGGAAGGCAGTAAGAACAGGTTCCAAAACTTTGGGTATAAGCTCGACGACTTCATCCTCATGAAACTGAAACAACAGTGCCAATTTTATCCCCAACCGAGAATTATTCTGAAACAGAAGTCTCACCTCCATCACCATCCATCTATCTTCAAATTGCTGTTCGAAAAGGAACAATGAGCTGCACTCAACACCCTATTTCTCGGTTTGTGTCCTATGGAAACTTATTTAAGTCTTATAAAGCCTTTGTGTCTAATGTTGATAATGTAGAAGTTCCGAAAAACATAGAAGAAGCTCGTAAATCAACTGAGTGGAGGTAAGCTATGATGGAAGAAATAAAGGCCCTCAAAGATAATAAAACGTGGGAAGTCTCGGATCTAACAAGTGGTAAGAAGACTTTGGATGCAAATGGGTCTTCACTACAAAATTTAAACCCGATGGCAGTATCGATCGATACAAGGCTCGATTTGTGGCTAAGGGTTTTTCTCAAACTTATGGCATTGACTATGACGAGATGTTTGCACCAGTTGCCAAGCTAAAAACCATTCGAGTTCTCCTATCTCTTGCTGTCAACTTGGATTGGCCCTTGACCTAATTAGATGTAAAAAATGTTTTCCTCAATGGGGAATTAAATGAGGAAGTGTACATGATCTTCCCACCCGAGTTTGAAGAGAGCAAGGACCAAGTGTACAAGCTAAAAAAGTCCTTATTTAGACCAAAGCAATCTCCAAGGGCATGATTCAACCAATTTTCCAAAGCTATGACTAGTAGAAGTTATATTCAAGGATAGGCTAACCACACCATGTTCTACAAACACTCAAAAAATGGAAAATGTTGCATTCTCACTGTCTATGTGGACGATATAATATTAATAGGGGATGATTCAACGAAATTAAAAGTCTAAAAGAGTTTCGTAGTGCTGAATTCAAACTTAAGGACTTGGGGAATCTTAGATACTTTCTTGGAATGGAGGTAGCAAGGTCTAAGGCAGGTATTTCTATCTCCCAAAGAAAGTATGTTCTCGATCTGCTTTCAGAAGTTGGTTTGTTGGGCTGCAAACCAATCGAAACTCCTATGGAATTCAATCTTAAATTAGGGACTGATCAGGATGGAGGAGATATCGACAGGGAGAGATATCAACCACTAGTAGGGAGACTTATCTACCAATTTCACACTCGTCCTGACATAGCTTTCAGTGTGAGAGTTATCAGTCAGTTAATTCACGCTCCAAGGGAGAAACATCTGGAAGCTGCACATAGGATATTAATGTATCTCAAGGGGACTCCGGGTAAAGACATGCACTTCAAGAAAACTGCCAACCGAAGTGTAGAAGTATACACTGATGCAGACTGGGCAGGTGTTGTTAACGAAAGACGTTCCATAAGTGGTTACTGTAGCTACGTTTGGGGTAATCTCGTAACATGAAGTAAAAAAAAATCCGTTGTAGCATGCATCAGTGCAGAGGTAATCGAGCACTATCCCATGGTATATGCGAAGGAATCTGGATACGACTATTAAGAGAACTAAAGGTGTCCTATACAAGACATAAAAATGCATTGCGATAATCAGACAATTGTCAGCATATCACATAATCCTGTTCACCATGATCGCACCAAACATGTCCAGTTCCTACCATAAAATTTTCATATTATTGTAGTAGTGAGTTACTTCAAGTGTTCCTTGTCAGATGTCCTTCAACTTCAATTTGATCTCAAATACTTGGAAGGCATTTCCAAGATCCGAGTAGTTTTCTTTGATTGCATCCCACATATCTTTTGCAGTTTTGAAGAAGAGGTAGGTGCGACTAATATGACCATCCATTGAATTAATTAACCAATCCATTACAATTGAGTTGTTGAGTTCCCAAGTGCCATAAGTTGGGTCTGTTGTGGTTGGTCGTGGGATGTCTCCATTGATATATCCTAGTTTGCCACGACCACAAATTACCATAATGATCGATTGAGACCACTACAGGAAATGTTTCCCATCTAGTCGATCATAAGAGAGGAATTAAAGTCCCCTTGAAGGGTTCCTTAATTGATTTTGAAATCATTTGTGAGATTTCAGTCTCGGATGAAGTTTCGATTGTGTCACCCATGGGAAGGAATAAAACAGGAGGCAAGGGAGATTAAAGAGGAGGGATGTTTGGGACAAGAGATTATATATGACAATATCAAAAATCTTTAAAGCTCTGATGTCATGAACAAACTTAAAAAGAAGGGTGTTATCATTTACTAAATAGTTTACAACCTTTATAGAGTAGTCTAAGTGTAGATAATGGAACAATCCCTAAAAATCAGTAACTCCTTAAAAATTAGAGACTAAGATTAGATCCTACTTTACAAGGAAACTCATAGGAATAAGGTAAGTAATCTATCCTTAATTTTAGGGATTCCAACAGTTCCTGTCAACAAATCTTATAATATGTTTTTGAATTAATCTAGAGTAATTATAAGTGGTAGTATATATTGTAAAGACTTAACTATTTGCTACAATTGTTTTTTTTTGCTCAGAAATCATTTTTTATTAAAGGACCAAGGTTAAAAGCCTTGTTAAAACCCCCTAACCTAGTTTGGAGGAAAATAGTACTCTTAACAAGGTCAAAAAGCAAGAAACACAGTCAACCTTCAACTACAACCGGAGCATAATAAAAACACCCAAAGAAGCTGAACTCTATGGCCTAGCCGAAAAAAACACATACCAACAAATAAAACTAAGACATCGACTTCACCCAACAAATCAACAGTGCCTAAGACGCATCCTTTAACAACACTAACAACGATTCAAAACTTTCGAACAGAACACACATTACCAGAAAAAACTTTACCACCATGCTTTGAATAGAAAATCTTGCTTCATCCCTTCTTTTGCTAAGAAATCCGCCATCCCGTTTTGTAGTCTCGAAGTATATACGAAGTGCAGTCGAAAAATTTCTTTCGCCAGTCTATCCACTTCATCAAGAGCACTCCACCACTTCCACGGTCTTAATAAGGGATCCTTGATCCAATTAAGGGTTACTTGACAATCAGATTCCACCACCAGATGAGCTTTACCTACCCAACTCACCTCAATGAAGACAAGAAGACCAGTTTTGATAGCCATTACTACAGAAAATTCCAAACCCAAAGCTTTCACTGGACCTGAAAATAAAATTCGAACATCACCCGCTTCCCTTCTTCTGCCGCCCCATCAACATTGAATTTAAAAAATCCAACTGCATGAGGACACCATACAACAACACTCTCTACTCTATTATATTGAGATAGGCACTTTAAAGGGCTTTGGCACCAATTTCCCTCCGAAAATCTGCCAGTCGAGTCGTGCACCCAAATTCCATGTCTTCACATAACGATTCCTTCAATAAAAGTCCTTTAACATCCTCCAAAATTGCCGTCTCTCTCTAATAACGGTCTCAAAAACAAAGCCAGCCAATTTAACTTGAGCAGACTGGATCCCTCTATCACTATTGCAACTACTACACCTTTTCATCGCCATAATCTGTATAGTCCAGGATAAAGCTAACAGAGTGGGATTTCCGAACACGATCCTCCTACAAAAGGATTGACCTCTCATCTCTTAATTTCCAATAGAAAGACTTCTTTGTTCATCCAAGCATTTACTTCTACTCCACATAAATTTCTAAGGATACCCTTCCATGCGAGAGATACATCCTTATTATCCTTGTGAATTAAAAGCCAATTAAAATCGTCAACACCATATTTTGCACATATTACCTTTCTCCACAACGCTTCTTTCTCGTTTGCGAATCTCCATGCCATAGTCACATGGATCGCGGTATGCTCCGATACGGGAACGTGGAACGGGATCGCAATTCGCTAGGTCCCTAAAATTCGATACAAGAGGGGTAGACTCATTTCGGATCGCTCCGGTACAATGTACCATATAAATTGGTACGATGTACCAATTTCTTAGGTTGTTATTTTTTTACATCAAATTTTATAAGTAACTTCAAAACTTCAAATATCTTAGAGTAACTTCAATACTATAGATTTCATTCAGTAACTTCAATACTTCAAAGTTGAAGGACTAAATTTATAATTAAACCAATATCTTAAACAGTAAAAATACAACAGTAAAAAGAGTTGGTCTTTACTGTTTCTGAAATATTAACTTTACTTTTTTTCTTCTCACACTTCAACGCTTCCTCATCTTCCTTGCCAATCCATCTTCTTTTATTTTCCTTTACCAAATTACCTATCAAAAAAATATGTCGACTCTACAACCGACTGGCAAGATCGGCCCTTCCACCGTCTTCGTTATCGCCCCTTCTCCTACTGAATCCTTACCCCTATATTTGTTTCTTTGTTTTTGTTGTGATGGGCTTTTGTTTCCTTTGCTTCTGCTGTGAGGGATTTTGTTTTCTTTGGTTTGTTGTGGTGGGTTTCTTCTTTCTTTGGTTTGCTTTCATGGGGTTTATGCTTCCATTATTTTCACTATGGGTTTTTGGTACACTAATTTCACTGTTACAGTACGCGAACGAACCGCGAATTGGAACGGACGAACTGAAACGAGATTCATGGGGTAGAACGCGTTCGTACCACGTTTTGGATCACAACGTACAATACGTAGATCGTGGCTATTGAGCGATTTATATAACTATGCTCCATGCCCATTTTGCAAGCAAGGCTTTATTCTTGCATTTTATATTAACCACACCCGCTCCGCCTTGCAACTTTGGCTTGCACAACCTTCCCCAGCTTACCCGAGAGCTTTTCTTAGCTCCGTCCGGAGATCCCCAAATAAATTTCCTAATATATTTTTTTCCTGCAGTCTTAGGAGCTTCGAAAGGTGATAGATAGTATAGAGGTAAGGCAGCCAAAACAAAGTTTGCAAGGATGATTCTACTCGCAAAGGATAAAGTTCTGCATTTCCACCCTGCCAACTTCGCGTGAAAGTGTTCCACCACTGGTTCCCAAACACTAAATTTTCTCGGATTTTCCCCCAAAGGAATACCCAGATAATTAAACAGTAGCGCCACTTGCCTACACCCACAAAGATGAGCATAGTGTTCCAGACTACCCTCTTCCAGATTAATTCCAATCATCCCTGATTTCTTAAAATTAATAGTCAGCCCTAAACACACTTCAAAGCTTCTCAGTAAGCGCTTCAGACTTGTTATATGCTTTGCCCTCCTAGTCTTAAAAACAGAATGGTATCATCCACAAAATGCAGATGTAACAACGTTAGCCCAGGAACTATATCACTAATGCCTTCAATATTGCCCAACAAGGTTGCCTTTTCTAGTAATTTATGAAGATCTTCAATTACTAAAATAAATAGGAAGTGAGACAGGGGATCCCCCTACCTCAGACCTTTCTTCAAACGAAATTCCTCAGTTGGGGAACCATTTAGTAAAACTGAAATCCTTACAGTTGAAATGCACTGAAGAATCCAGCCCCTCCACTTGTCCCCAAAACTTCATTTAGAGTCATCACAGCTCCTCGTCGCCTCTTTTACCTCCTCTATGGAAAATAGCTTCTCCAGCTCCACTTCGTTTTTTGACAGCCGACTGAAACTCAAGTCGAAGACTACCTCCAATTTCTTTTACGGCTGAATTGTTTCTCAAAATACCTCTTGACTTTTGCCGTTAATCTGCTTGGATCGTTTTCACCTTCAATTCCAAGATTTGAGCCTCAGATCATCCCTTTTTTTGCTCGAAATTTGACCACCCTATGGAAGAAAGACGAATTCCTATCCCCTTCCTTTAACCAGCTAATTCTCAACTTTTGTCTCCATAGATATTCCTGTGCTCTCAATGAATCCCATAGTTGAATTTTGCAATTTAAACGTTCCTCATGGATCTCATAGTTGATAACTCTCGATCTTCCTGAATCCTCCAGCTCATTGATTCTTTTAATTAGCCCTTCAACACTTTTATTGAGATCTCCACAAGACTCCTTATTCCAATTTTTTAATGCATATTTCACTCTTTTTAGCTTATCTGGAAGATTCAACTCATTCTTGCTAGAGATTGATAGCTCCTTTTGAATAAGGTCAATGCAGTCTACTTTCGACAGCCAGACGTTTATCATTTTAAAGGGACGAGGCCCCAAATTCACACAAGTATTAGCCATCATAATTGGGATATGATCCAAAATTGTGCGCCTAAAACCAATAACCTTTAGATCAGAATGAGAATTATACCAGTTTTCTTCCACAAGAAATCTGTCTAATTTACGTCTTTTATGACCAATCCATGTAAGCTCCTTTCCCACCATAGGAACCTCCATCAAATTGCAGCTATCGATAAGCAAATTAAATTTAGCCATACATGTTGAAGAATTCGTGCAAGCAAGTCTTTCAAAGCTATATCTAATTGCGTTGAAATATCATGCCACAACCCACGTTTTATTCCACTTGATTTTTTGCTGAACCAATTCCTCCCAAAGTAATGCTTGATGTTGGGGTTCGCACGGAGCGTAGACATTTATACAGAACAAATCTAAGTTTTCTGGCAACCATTTTCCAGCCACAAGAATGAATCTTGTATTAATCTAACTCGCCTCCATCTTGAACCTGGACTTGTCCCAAATCGTAATTAATCCCACAAACCTTCCGGTAGCATCTGATGATACTCTCTCAAATTCGTCATCGTACCACATTCTTTCGACCATGCTTTCCTCCATCGAACTAATTTTTGTTTCTTGCATGAATAACATCTCTACTTTGTGTTTACTGGAAAAAATTTCTCACCATTAACACTTTTACCTGACCCCAATCCTCTTATGTTCCACGAGGCAATCTTCATTTTCCTCATGAAATGGCTCGATCTATTTTAACAGATTTGCCACCTCAACGGCTGTAAACTCCTACTCTATATCCTCTTTATCCCCAAAAAACTTAATTCCCATCTCTTGACCCAAAGATATTACCTCTCTTGCTTCTTCCAATTCACGCTCCCATCTATATTGGCGGTTCAGATGAGTAATTTCGTCCACTTCCAAAGCAGATTGTTCCCTATTCTTCGCTCTCTTGTTGGAACGTCTACACCCCAGAGCTGAAATTTCCTTCTTCGAATCCAGCATAAAAGCTTCTTTTGCTTTCTTAATCGAGCCACTCTCTATTCTTTTGCCTTATAATCTCGAATTTTGAAATTCCGGAAGCTCCAACACAACACTCGTGTCTCCTCTTCCTTCACCCACTTCTTTCCCTCTCCATTTTAACTCGTTATTCTCATGAAAATTTTTCTCAATCTGACTATCCTTGTTTTTTTCCTCCTCTTTGTACGCCCTACCACCGCTTTCCTCGTATGGGTTTTCTTAAACTTATCTTTGGACTTGGCCGACTACTTGATTTTTAGCTCATTTAATTGGAAGCCCATTGCTTTCGGATACTCCACCACTCTTTCCGAACTTGGGTTTTCTAACCATGGGTCGGCTAAAACATGGATGTCCACTATCCCAATATTTGTAATGGCCTCATCTGCTTTATGCCCCTTTAATACAATCTGTTAAACACCCGCGTCATTCCACACTCTGCCCTTTCTTTTGACTTTTCTATGGATTTTGAAACGTCATCTCTTTCCTTCTTAATAAATGAGGAAGAAAAACAAAACAAGAATAAATATGCAATATTCTTAATATCCACCCAGTCCACCCTCCACCAAGAACAAAACAATCTCCAAAAACTTCCAATGAAGGTGCATCCAGCAAATAAATGGTTTACATTTACACAAGAAATATGTTCTTCACCGCAGTTCTCTCCTGTTCAGGAATTCCTTTGTAGGAATCCGATCAATATTCAGAATCCATAAGAATCTTTTAACTTTAGGTGGAACTTTTAACTCCCACAACTTATCGAAGTCAAAGTCTGGTTCCCTCACCCCAAAACAAACTAACTGAAACGTGAGTTTCTTTACCCAGAATAGTCCAGCTTTATCGTGGATCCAAATTAATTTATCCCTTATCTCTGTTTGGATCTTAACACCCTTGATTATTTTCGATAAATCCTTAACCATAAGCCATTCTCTTTCCATTAGGACACTTGAAAAAATTGTATCCCACTTCAAGTTACTCCAGTCAGAACCCCCAATTAAACTGGCTACCGACATCCATTTTAGCAAAGATAACATATATAGTCGAGAGAAAGTAATTCACAAAGTAGATTCTCCGCACCACAAATCCTCCCAAAAACAGTGCGATTTTGCCATGCTCAATTTTCCATCTAAAAGAGTCGGAGTTCATCCAATGAGACACCTCCATGTTTAGCCAATTCTTACTAATTTTCCTTCACACAATCGGCATTCTTTTCACATTTAAAGTTTTAGCTGCTAATCACTGAATGTTGACCCGTATTTTGATTTGATAACCCTCCTCCAAAGTGTCGATCTTTCCTAAGCAAACCTCCGATCTTATTTAGCCAATAAAGCGCTATTTTTAGCTCGAATGTTCACGACTCCCCCACCATCCTTACAACTAGGTAAGCACACACGATTCCAACTAACTCGAGTCATTTTCCTTTTCACTTCTATGTATCCCCATAGAAATCCCCTTATGATCTTCTCTATTTTGAGTAGCACTGTTCTTGGTATTTCAAATAAGGACATATAGTAAAGTGGAAGCGAATATAATACCGATTTCATCAAGCCTCCTTATGAGTGTTCTGAATCAGTAATATTTGGTCGTTAATTCTTCGATCTTATAGATTTATTGTTATTGATTTGGTTGTGTTATGCTTATTTTCGTGCAGTATCTTACTTTCCAGAATTAGCAGTAAAACGAGCGCATTCTATATTTTTTATTATTATTTGGTCACGGCTAGAGATATGAGCACGACTCTAGGCATGACACAGTCTGACGTGGTAATTTCTTGAAGATCAAGTCAGTGCCTTTTGGAAGGTGGACAAGAAGAGTTATATTAGGAGACTTATTTTTAAATTTTAAAGTTTGAATTTAGAAAATATTTGGAATTATTTTTATTTTAATTTCTTTGTTTATCTCTAGGTTTTTAGAGGCTATCAATACCCTCTTGGCTTAAGCCTAAAGACACAACTTTGAATTTACTGTTCTTCTTCTTTCTAGTTTTATAAAGTTATTTCTTTTCTTTTCTCTTCAAGTTTTCGTTTTTACTTTATTTTAAGTTTTATTTTTAAACATGCTAAGTATGACTTTTGTCATGCTTAGCTAATTTTCTCATAAGCTCAGAGTTGAAGTGATGACTCAATTCCAACGTGAGAATTGAAAAATACCTTAATAACTTTGGAATATCTCTCTCAATCTCTGCGCTTATTTTTCAAAATCAATTCAATTTTCAAAATCAAAGATTGACTTGGTCAAAATGTTGTTACGATTAAATGTGTGGGGAGAAGGATCGGATTATTAAAAGCACATTCGACTTCATGTGAACACACTTGGCGAGATTGCCTTGCCAAGAGAGAATTGAGATCGAAATTAGTAGTTATTGGAACAATAATCTAAGTTGGTCTTCAAAACTTAAACGGTTATTGATCTATGACAATTGATGTTGATCAGATCAATTTTCGAAGCCGGAATCAAAGATTGCCTTGGGTATTCGATATACAAAATAGAGTCACGAGGATTACCCTTGTAGACAAAGTAGCCGACGTGAATCCCGAAGAGAAAATCTAATTCGATGATCAGAAAGAAATTGAGTCATAGCGAGGCTTGAGGCTGTTTTTACCGTATTTATTTTCCACTTTACATTCTCTATTTTCTTTATTTTTACTTTAAATTGCTTTCTCTTATTTAATCCTTTTAATCAAAATCCCCCTTTTTTTCTTTACTACTTTTCACTTGGTTTAAGCAATTCAAACATAAATTTGGGAATTTTCTAAGTCCCTAAGGATCGACCCTTACTTCTCTTTACTACGTATTTCCTTTATTTATTAATCGAGAAGAAGGAATTTATTTGACATCAAAACGATAGTTATCAAATTGGCACCGTTGCTGGGGACTTCGCCAAAGTTACTAATTTTTGTTTGCTTTTGATTTATGTCCAGGACAAACCCCGGTGAATTAATGGAGTACGACCCATAAATTGAAGCCAGAGAGCTCAGAGACTTAACGCACAGACACTTTGGGAAAGAAGGAGATGACAATCATATCCAGAATCGAATTCAGAATCAAATTCAGGTGAAACTGTTAATACCGAACCAAATCCGATGGCCGATCCTAGTATCAGAGAGTTAGCCGCAACTCCTACTGAACAAGAGCCTTTGTGCATTGATTTTTCCCAAGGCGAAACTCCATACCAATTAAAAACTGGCCTTATTCATCTTTTCCCTACCTTCCGCGGATTACCAAAAGAGAATCCACATAAACATCTCACGAAATTTCACATGGTCTACTCCAGCATGAGACCACAAGGAGTAACTGAGGATCAAATCAAACTTAGAGTTTTTCCTTTCTCCTTACTTGATTCGGCTAAGGCGTGGTTATTTTATTTACCCCAAATTCTATTACTACATGGGCTCAAATGACTCGCCTTTTTCTTAACAGGTTTTTCCCTGCGGCGAACACAAGTGAGTTACGAAGAAGAATACTTGGAATCAAGCAACTTGATGAAGTGTCACTCTATGACTACTCGAAGAGATATTCTATGACTACTCGAAGAGATTTAAAAAATTATGTGCTAGTTGCCCACAACATGGGTTAACCGAACAAACACTCTTTTAATATTTTTATGAAGGATTAACTCCCCTGGAAATGAAGATGATCGATGCTGCCAGCAGAGGAGCTTTGGTGAACATGACTCCTGCTGAGGCTAGGGAATTAATTTCCACAATGGCCGTAAATTCCCAACAGTTTTGTCCAACTAATGAACCTCCTCGAAGGGTTCGTGAGATAAGTTCATCTTCCTTAGAAAGTAAGATAGATAAATTAACTGCAGTAGTCAACTCTCTTGTTGCAGGAAAGATAGGACCCAACAGATTATGTGGAATATGTGCATTATATGATCTCCCAACAAAAGATTGTCCACTAATTCAAGATGACACAACAACTCAGGTTAATGTAGTGAGGAACTTTCCAGGACCTCCCCAGTGGGATTATAATCCCTACAAAAATACTTACAACCCAAGATGGAGGGATCATCCAAATTTTAGTTACGCTCAAAACTCAAGGCCGAATCAAGTTTATCAACCAAGGCCACCTCCACCACCCCTACAGTCGCAGAAGGCATCGTTAGAGTCAATTGTTGAAAGATTATCTCTTTCCTAGGAAAATTTCCAAATTTATACTAAAGCCCTCTTCCAAGAGATGGACAAGAAAATAAGCCAATTGGATCAAACCATAGGGTTCTTGGAATCAAAAAGTAAACTTTCGTCTCAAACCGAGGTAAATCCAAGGGAGAATGTCAGCGACATCACTCTTCGGAGTGGTACAGTAGTCGCGCCACCTATTCCAAAAGATGAAGCAATGCAAAAAAGAAAGAAGACTATTGATTTTGGATCCCAAAAGAAGAGTGACGAAGTAAAAATAGATCTAACGCCATCTCCATATGACGTGCCACCACATTTTCCATCAAGGTTAGTAAAAAAATAGATAAAGAAGTTGAGGAAAAAGAAATACTAGACGTATTTCAGAAGGTGGAAATCAATATACCTCTTCTGGAGGTTATCTGAAGGGTTCCAAGATATGCCCGGTTTCTAAAAGATCTTTGTACGACA